GGCGTACAGTAGGTCCTCAAGGGACATCAGTCCCTGGCCGATCAGTGGGAGCCAGAGCAATCCCAGGGGATGCCTGGGCCTGGTGGGGCAGGCCAGGGGAGCCTCTCTGATTCAGACCAGCTGGGGGAGGGGCGCATCTGACTCCACTAAAAGCCGCAATTAGAGCCCAATTTAAAGAAACGCTGTGTTAGTTCTTCCCAGGGCAGATGTGATTACAGGCTTGGCGCTAAACTGTTACTAACGGGATGACACAGAGAGGCCCCTACCAGGGCCTGGCAGGAAGGCCGGCCCTGCTGCCGTGCTGTACACCTGGGGAAACCGAGGCCCCGTGCAGAAGGGGACGCGCGCCAGCTCACACTGCGGGTTAGACGGGGGCCAGGACCGAGCCCTGCCTCCTGAGGGTCCCTCCCAGCTCTTCCCCGCTTCTTGCTTTTCCCTGAATGATTTATCTCAGCGTCTAGAGCAGCGGTTCTCAACCTGTGGGTCGCGACCCCTTTGGCGGTCGAACGACCCTTTCACAGGGGTCGCCCGAGACCATCCTGCATATCAGATATTTACATGACGGTTCATAACAGTAGCAACATGACAGTTATGAAGTAGCAACGAAAATAATTTTATGGTTGGGTCACAACATGAGGAGCTGTATTTAAAGGGCCAGAAGGTTGAGAACCACTGGCCTAGAAGCTATAGGCACCTTGAAGGAGCGAACCTCCCTTCAAGAGGAAGGATAGGGCTGAAGCTCCGAGAGGAAGTGGGACCTGCCAGATTTGGGGGTCCCCATACTGTCCAAGTGCCCCCCAAGGAGTGCTGAGAGCATGTCTTTGGCCTGCCCCCCACCTTAGTCCCAACCAGCCTCCCGATGTCAGAGCCTGAGGTCACCCTGCCCTAGTCCCCAACCCCTGCACCCTTGCCCAGGCAGAACTCGAGTTGGCACTGGGTCCAGGGAAGGGGAGGGAGAGGGAAAAGCTGGCCTCCTCTCTTCCTCCCCTCTGCCCCTCCCCTCCCCCTCTGCAGCTCACTTTGGGGAGCCCCTGGGTTCCAAGGACCTTGGGAGGTAGAGTACTGGGGCCCCCTGCTGGCCAGGTGCCCCCTCACCGCCGCAGGTGGGAAAGGTTCTTCATTCATTGAACAAATATTTATGAAGCCTCTATTATGGGCCAGACTCTGGTTAGGCACTGCAGCTCAGCAGAGAACACACAGGGATCCTCCCTCCTGATGTCTATGGCCCCACCGAGGTGACTGGCATCTCCTGTCCCGTCCACGCTCCGGGGGAACCATCCCCATCCCCAGAAAACAGAAAGCTCCCCGTGGGCAGGAGCTGCCTTCCCACAGACCGATTCCGGGGGACACGGCTGTGACATGGCCACCAGGCTGAGGCCGAAGCTCTCAAACCTGCCATTCCTGACCGACCGCCCCCTCCCTCCAGAGCCGCCCGGCCAGCGTTGCCAGATCAAACACAGGATGGCCAGTTAAACCTGAAGTCCAGATAAACAAGGAATAATTTTTATTTAAGTATGTCCCAAATATTACATGAGGTATACTTAAACTAAAAATTATTCCTTGTTTATCTGAAACTCAACCTGAACTGGGCTCCGTGTGTTTCTACTTGCTAAATCTGGCCACCCTCCCCCAGACCTCATTCCTCCTGCTGTCACCTGGCCTGACCAGATGGCCCAGGCCGTGCCTGGACACGGCCCCTGCCTGCTCCGTCGTCGCTCCTGCTGGCCCCCAGCACCGCCGCCCTCCCCCTGCGGCCCTAGCTCCCCACCTGCCCCTACCTGGCGTGCACAATCCAGCCTACGGCCCCGTCAGGAATGCTGCTGGACCTCCTGCATGACAGGCCCAGAGAGAGGAGACGGGGCACAGCCGCAGAGAGGGGCTGTGAGTGTCAGAGACCGAGAGGCAGAGACACAGAGGTACAAGGCCCCGGAGAGTGAGCGGATCGGGATGGGGGAGAGTCGAGACAGTGAGTGCCCGAGGGCCTCAGGGGCCCACCAGGGTTTGCTCTGAGTGGACTGGGGCCAAGGCTGGGCAGCCCCTGGGAGGCAGCTGGGAGTCTCCTGACTGGCGGTCAGGGGTGGGCGTCCGCCCCAGCCCCTGCCGCCCTCCCCTTGCCATGCCTCCCAGGAACAAACACAAGGACATTCATGGCGTCCCGGAAGGGCCCATGGGCAGCCAGAGTGGCTTTTAAAATTAGCCTGGCTAACCAGATCTGGTTATTTCAGGAGGCTTCATCCCTGGCTGTCCCCTTGGCGGGGCGGGTGCAGGGAGGGACCTCCACATTCCAGGGTCCCTGGTTAAGCACCCCTGTGGCCTGAGCAGCAGAGAACATCCAGGTCCCAGTCCCCTGGCACTGGGCGGGCCTGCGCCTGTGGCCTCTCTTTGGTAACGTGGCCCCAGGGCTGGCCACGGATGTCCAGGGTCGACAGACACAGAGAGGCCCCTACCAGAACCTGGTGGGAGTGGGTTCTATGCCATGTGCTCCAGAGGCCAGGCCAGCCCCTTCACAGTGTGAGGTAGGGCTTCGCCCCCATTTCACAGGTGAGGCAACTGAGACCTGGAAAGACAGGTTCCAGCTCTAAGGCAGAGACGGGGGTGCCAGGTTTGCCAGGCACCCAGGTCCCTCCGCGGGAGGCCTCTTGCCTCCTGCGTCAGGAGAAACCTCTGGCTGCCGTTTCCACCACCAGAGCTATTTCTAAGCAGAGTCCAGCACTTCCCGGAACCCGGTGCCCCCCGCCCAAGCCTAATTCCAGCCTCGGACAGTGTCCTGGCTCGCCCTTCCCACCTCATAACCAGGGTGAGCACGGAGCTGGCATGGGTGCAAGAGAAACAGCCCTGGACACTTTGATCCCAGAGGCCAGGCCTGTCCTCAGCCTCCCCCAGCCCCACCTTGGAGCCCAGAGGAGGGGTGGGTGGGGTGGGGGCCCAGCGGAACCAGAGGCTGCAGACGGGACTGGCACAACCCAGGGCAGAGGCAGGTTCTGCTCTCCACGCTGCCCCTGCGTCTGCACAACAGAACCCAGCGCTCTGGCTCAGCTGTGGGTAAGAGCCGTGGGGTGGGGCACCTCGTAAAGGGATACAAGTGGGTGCCCGAGCTCTTTTATAAAAGGATCACCAACCCCCCGGAAAAGCAGGAAGCTGAGGCTCAGGGAAGCAACTGACAATCGTCCAGCCTCAAAGCCTCAGGTCGGACGTCTGTGCCCGGCCGGCCCCAGGCACTCCATCCTCCAGGCTGGGCAGTAACCCTGCGCCCTCTGATGTGGGTTAAGGATGTGGTCCTCATTCATGGCTCATCACCACCACACACACTATTTTTGGAGTCCACCATGGGCCAGGGCTGAACCAAGAAATTTATGAAGTATCACCTCACTGAACCCTCACATCAGGGTACCAAGGTCAGGACTGTTCGCATCCCCACTGTACAGATGCGGAAACTGAGGCCCAAAGACCCAAAGTAACAGAGCTAGAATGACCTCAGAGCCAAGCTCTTGACCTTGGTGCTGAACTGTGGCTGCTGACCCTTTGGGGTGAGATGGGAGGAGACAGGTGAGGGATTGAGACAGAGTTCTGAAGAGCCAGGACCTGGGAAGGGGTGTGAGGTTAGAGAACAGGGGTGAGGCTGAGCAGGGTTAGGGTCAGGGGGGGATCCACTGAGCCCAGGCCAGCCTAGAGCCAAACTCCAGTGGGTGGGATTGGGGGTTGGGTGTGAGTCACAGCCCCTGGGTGGCCCCAGACATCTGAGGGTCAGTGGGGGTCCCCGAGCACGGCAGCCCCTGGGGTACATCAGCATCGTCCTGGGGAGGGTGTGGGGGCTGGTGGAGGGAAGGAGGGGGCTGGAAGGCTGTCAGGAAGACCAGGGCACATCTGATCCCACTGGAGCCCAATCCTGTGCCTACCCCCAAGCCCAATCTTCTCCAACTCACCTCCCCCTGCCCTTCCTCCCGTGCCCCTATCTCAGAAATCTGCCCCCTTCACCCAATACCCAGGCCGACCCTGGAGAGCCTCCTCACCTCCCCCTCAGCCCCACATCCCAGCAGGCCCTTCATCAGATGCTCAGACCTCCTCATGCCTTCCAGGGTCCCTCTGTCCCCAGCAGCCGCCTCGATCCTCCCCTCCCTGCCCTGGCATGCTCAGCTCGTCTCCGCCAGCAGCCCTCAGCTCCTGTCATGGCACTCCCGTTGTAAGTCCTCCATGCCTCCCTGTTGCCCTCAGCACCAAGCCCTGTTCCTTGGTCTGGCATTCAAGCCGTGTGGCTCTTCTCCATCCATCTCCGGCCCCTCAGTCATTACATCCCATCATCAGAACTGTTTGCCACCTTCCCACTCCAAGCCCTGTCTCCCTCCCTCAGGGGCACTGTCCTCAGCCTCCCCAGGGCTCAGGCACCACTGAGCCAGTCTTTCCTGCGCCTCCCTCACCGAGGCTGGGCCCCCAGAGGCCGGCCCCCTGCTCACGCACACCCCTCACTCACCACCCTGTATTGTGACTGCCCTGCACTGCGAGCTCCTCCCAAGTTGGACGGACTCAGCCCCAAGGGTCCCAGTAAGCGATCCCTGGGTGCCCCCTGGTGGCCGCAAAGGGGAAATGCTTGGGCTTCAAGGAGCATGAGGAGGGGAAGTAAGTTGATCATTGAGCGCCCACTGTGTCCTCTTGGGAGAGGTACTGTTGCTCCCCTTAAACAAAAGTGGAACCTGCGGCTCAGAGAAGCTAGAAATTCCCAGTGCCACCCAGCGAGTAGATGGTGCCAGGACTAACCTGGGTCGGTCCAATTCAAAGCTGCGTTCTCCCCGTGGAGAAGGGGGCAGGGCGGAGGGGAGCACAGCGCCATGGGGAGGAAGCCACAGCTGGTGGTTGGAGCCTTTGCTTGGCCTCGGAGGTGCCCTGGACCCAGCGGCTCTGATGGGGGTGGAGGGCTGGGGGACAGGCCTTCCCTCCATCTTAGTACCAGTCAGACCTGGGGTAGGTCTGAGCAGGGCTCACGCAAAGCCAGGTCCATCTCGGGGTACAATAGCGATAAATAGAATTTATTTTGTACAACTGTTACCAACATACACACAGCCACGGGGGCTTCCCAGATGGGTGTTGGGGCGGGAAGGCTGGCCTGACGGTGGCGCCTAAAAAGTGTGGACAGACACACACAAGATGTGGACTCACAGCAGCTATGCCTGGCGGCCTCCTCCATGGGAATGGGGGGGTCGCAAAGGCGAGACCTGTAACTCCAGGCCAGCCGAGACCACTCAGCCGGGAGCGCCCAGAACATGGGGGGCAGAGGTGGAGCTGGGTGCCGGCTGAGAGCCAGGTAGGTTCCCTCCGCCAAGGGGGCCGCTTGTCTGTCATGTGGAGGCAGTGGACGGGGCATCGGCAGGTCTGTGGTAGAGCTTGAGGGTCCAGGAGGGGCAACAGGCATTGCCAGCTCCCTGCCCCTCAGCCCACCAGGGGCCTCAGAGCCCCAGGAAGCAGGACAGGGTGATGGGAGGCCCCTGGGAGGCCGGTCCCCCATTCTGGGCAGGTGCATGGAATCGCAGTCTTCGGTGACCTCTGAAGTGATCTTGTCCATTGGTAGCAGAGGTGCCCAGAGACAGCCCAGAGCCGCACAGCAGAACCCAAATTAGAAGCCAGGACTCAGGACGCAGGATTCCCAACCTGGGGCTCCCTCCATCACATCTCACCCCCCGCTGCCTGGAGGCTCTGTATGCACTGAGAGATCTCGGTCCCCCCTCTCATCTTGCCCCCCCTGAGTCGAGAGGGGCACCAAGGTGTGATGGAGGGCCCAGGCCGGGGCGAGCCAGGCCTGGAGTCTTGCTGCAACTGACCACTCCCTGTCCAGCCTGGCCCCCAGCCCGGGGGGTGAGGATGACGCCGGCAGCTTCCCCGCTCCCAGGTCTGGATGGCTCCGCCCTGCAGAGACAGCCCAGATGGTGGGCCCAGGGGAGGGTTGGGGAGACAGGGGGCAGCACACAGGCTGGTGGTGGCCTTGGGGGCAGAGGTCCTATCTGCCTGGATTTGACACAGCATCTTCACCTTGTGTTTCTTCGACCGCATCTGTAGGGTAAAGGGAGATGGAGACACCACGGAGCAGGGAGACAGGCCCGCCCTCGGGGCTCCAGGCTCTGTGTCTTCCCACCCCACTGGGAGCCCCCAGACCCATCCCTCCCAGCAGCTACCAAGTCCCTTTCAGGCTCCCATCAAATCCTCCCAGCAGCTCGTGGGCAGAAGTGAGGAAGCATTTGTTAGCCCCATTGCACAGATAAGGAAATTGAGGCCTAGAGAGGGGCCAATGACCTGCCCAAGTCACTCAGTATCTGAGCGGCAGAGGATTCGAACCCAGACACAAAGCTCTCAGCCGAGAGAGGACAGAGGGACAGGGAGACATTGGCCCACTTCCTCGCCACCCCTCCCCCCCACCTCCCTCCCCATCAAACGAGAGCTGAGGGTTGGGTCTGACCTTCTCTGTCACCTCCGAGGGGAGCCTGGCTAACAGCTCTGCACAGGCAGAGTGGCGGCGAGGCAGGGACAGGACAGCCGGCATGGAGCAGAGGACACAGGCAAGCAGAAGTCACTGGCTGTGCCCAGGCCGGATGAGCCCAACCCCTCCGGCCTAGGGGGACCTCTCGGTCCGGTCCCCATCCCTGACTCCCCCCAGGACTGCACGCACCAGCTGGGACGTGTGCTGCTCAGCCGCTTCCAGCTGGATCTTGATCTCCGGACATGCAGGGTCCCCCGACTTGCCGGCGTCTGGATGGGGTGACCGCGAGGGGCCTGGAGAGGGGGGCAGGAGGGAGCCACCTCACTGGCCACGGGGAGGCACCAGGGAGACGGGTATGGATGGGTGGTCGGCACTGGTTGGTGTTCCCAACCCGCCAAGTCCCTCCCCTAGGGAACCCCACCCTCACTCCCTTCTTTTGTCCCCCATCATGCTCCAAGATTCTTCCAGCAGCCAGCAGCCCTCCAAGCCACCCAATCATCTTAGGCTCAATGATGACCCCTCCATGACATGCCCACCACCTGGGGGATGAGAAGTGGTCTCCATCCTCAGTGCCCAGCCCTGACCCCTCGGCCATACGAATGGCCCTACTTGGCGGGGAAGCTGCTCCAGCCTGGTACCTGGGGAGCTGCCCCCACTCGTGGTGCTGACGCTGTCCTCCAGCCACGTGCTATAGATGAAGGAGTCCCGCTTGTGCGGAGTCCCTGAGGACGACATGCTCTCCTGGGGACGCAGGGAGGAGAGTAAGAGGGGGGTTAGCCCTGGGCCCTGGCACTGGCTTGGCTCCCCTCCCCTCTAGGCCACCTTTGCCTCCCTGCAAAGAGGACAGGGCCCACTGTCTGCTCCAGGGAGGCCACAGGAGGACAGAGTGGGAACAGGCACACACCGCACACGCCCATTCATTCATTCAACCATCATTCACTGACGTTCTCGTGGGCCAAGACACCGAGAGGCATGGGGCCGGGTCCCCGCCCTCAGAGACCGAAGTCTAAGAGGTGAGACAGCTGGGAAGAGACCATGATCATCATCCCAGACCTGGCCCATCAGGCAGGGCGGTCTGCACTGCTCCTTGCTGTACCTGAAGCACCTGGAACAGGACCCGGCAAGGAACAGGGGCCCAGTGCAGGTGTGTTGAATGAAGGGTGACAAACGGGGGCTAAGGGCCAAGCCCAGGGTCTGTGAGGCACAAAGAGGGACTAGAACATCAGGGAAGGCTTCCAAAAGGAGGCGATGTGAGGCTGAGCCTTGAAGTGTGAGCAGGACTCAGCCAGACAAGGAGGGAGGAGGAGGCAGTGGTGTGCTCCAAAGAAAATGGCTCGTGCAAAGGCCCAGAGGTGGAGTAAGCCTCGTATGTTTGGGGGAGGGCTAAGGAGTGCAGAACGGCTAGAGTGGTAAGAGATGAGGCTGAGGAGGGGACGGGGGGGGGGGGTCTTCAAAGGTCTCAGAGATTGGGCTCTGGGTGCAGGAGTGGGCCCCCTTCCCCCATGCTGGGGAGCACGGAAGGTCAGAGTAGGGGAGGATTAGTCTGCATTCTTCCTTCTGGCTGGGTCCCCAGATCGCATCTCAGCCACGCCCAGGCTCATGCTTCGACCAAAGAGCCCCCACTGCAGGCCGCTGTGGAGCACCCCACTCCCTGGGCCTCTCACCAGGCCTGTGTCGTCCCCGTCCACACCCTCCGTCTCCTCCACTACGCTGGCGAAGCTGCTGGCACTGGACGAGGAGCAGGAGAAGTCCTTCAGCACTTCTGCTCTCTGGGCTGCTGTCTCCGCTCTGCCACAGACAGCACCCCATCAGCCAGCACCCACTCAGGGCCCCTCCTGGGCCCAGGCCCCGGTACTCTGCCCTCCGGGCCCAGGGAGACCTGCCTACAGCTCGCCCAGCGCCTTTGTGGTTGCTTTATAGCTCCCCAGGCCTCTGAGCCTCCTCCTGCCGCTGTCCTTCTTAATATGCAGATCTGGTCCTGTCCTCCCCTGCTCAAAACCCTCTCAGGGCTCCCACTGCCCCAGATGAAGTCTCATTTCCTTGACTTGGTGCTCAATAATAACTGTTAATAATATTATCATGTAGTGCACATTTGCTCTGTGCCAGGCACTATTCCACATGTTTTTACCCAAATTGCCCCACTGCTATCACTATTGGACCCATCTTACAGATGAGGAGACACCAAGGCACAGAGAGGGTAGGCACACAGTCCAAAGTCACCCTGCCACAGGTGGGAGAACAGACGGGACCCAGCTTCCAACTCCACAGTCTGCTCTCAGCCCTCCCACAATTTTGTTCCATGCTCAGGCCTTTGTGTTTCCTGATGGGAGTCTCACTCTTCCCCTTAAATCTCCCAAAGCAAATTAATCTTTCAAAAATCAACAAGGGCCCCCTCCTCAGGGAGGCCCTCCCTGATTCCTCCTCGCATGGTAGGGTGACCCTCCCCACTCTGGGTCCGGCACACCTTGTCTCTCACCATCCCTGCCACCCTTTCCTGCTTCTCTGTTCACCTGCCTGACTTTTCATCTGGGCTGAGTCAGAGTCAGCCAACAAGAGCTGAAGGGAGGAGCAGCCTGCTTGCCGGCCTCCCTGCTTCCATTCCCGCCCTTGCCCCAACCCTTCATGTGGGCCTGGCCCCTCAGTCACTCGGCTCAATGCACTGCCCTTCGTCCATCCTTCAAGCATACCTCAGGGCCTTTGCACTGGCTGTGCTTCTTACCTGGAACCCTCTTCCCTCACCCTTTGTCAATGTCTTGCTTGAGCACCCAAGCTGACCCCCACCCCAAGTCATTCTTCATCGCATCCCCTGCTTTGTTTTCCTCTGACCATACCTCCCTGGAAATAGCTTACCAGGTTATGTTACACTGGTTGTCACCAATGTATGCCCAGGCCACCAATGTATTGCAGAGCGGTGGTGGGTGGGTGTCAGAGGAGGACCAAAGAGAGTGCCCAGGCCTCCCCAGCACCCTGGTGTGGCAGTGCCAATGCTCCTGGCATCCCCCGGCCCAGGCGGGGATGGAAAAAATGAGCCCAGCACTCCCAAGCCCCGGCCCGGTGAGCCCTGAGCCCCAACCTACCTGTTCTTGGTCGTTGGCATCTCTGGGGAGCTCTGAGTGGAGGAGTTCTCTGACTTCGGCTCCTGTGAGGCGTGCCCGCTGTCTGGGGTCTTCTGGCCAGCCGGGGGGCTCTCCCTGCGGGGCACACGGGGGCAGTGGGGGGATTCAGCACCAGGCCTGGCATCAGGGTAGAATGAGGCCCAGGTGGTGAGAAGAGGTCATGGGCACCTCCTGCCTCATCCCCACACCCTGTACCCTCAGGGGCCAAACCCAGAGCAGTCCTTGCGGCTAACTGGCCAGGCCTGGGCAGGTACCCGCAGCACCTCCATAAGACAGGACACCCCCGAGTCCTCCTCTCCATGGGAGCAGGTGTCATTGTCCCTTTTGGATCAGGAAGCTGGAGCCCCGAAATGGGAGGGAACCTGCCCAGGATCACAGCTAGAACATGCCAAAGCCAAGACGAACCCAGGATTTGCAGGATTCTGGGCTCTCGCAGCCATGAGGACTATGCCAGCACCATTCCTGAGCCTCAGGGTGCCCACCACCCTGCTTCGCATGCACAGCACCACCCGCCGCGCCAGCCCCATGATGTTGGTTGTGTTCTTATCCTCACTTTTCAGACTGGGACAGTGAGGCCCAGAGAAGTGCAGTGACTTTCCCAAGGTCACACAGCCCCACTGTGGTAAAGATGGGATTCACACCCAAGAACTACCCTCAGCTTCCCAGGAGCTGCCATGCTGTGAATACGGCCTGCTGCCCACCGCCGCCCACACAGATGTACTCGCAGACCCCCACAGACGAGCCCAAAATCCCAGCTCTGCCCCCCACTGGCTGTGTGAGCTGGGCAAGCCCCGAGCCCGCTGACCTACAGCATCCTGGTATGCAAGGTGGGACCCCAAGGAGCCAGCAGAACTGCTGAGCAGATGAAAGCATTTTACGTTAGGCGACGAGCTGGCGTGGTGCCTGGCACACAGCAGGAACTTGAGTGTACAGCTGTCACCAGGGACGGACAGACGGGCAGAGGGTAGGCACTCCCTCCTGCGTGCTCTGCTTTGCCGCTGAATGGGGGTCACAGGAGACAGACCCGTCCCAGCCGCCCCGCTCCACCCACCTTTTCTCCTGCACCTCCTGTATGTTCTCGATGCCGATGGCGCTGCTGCGGCGTGAGCCAAACGGACCTGACTTCTTCCGCGTGGGGCTCTTCCCAGGGACAATCAGTGACTGCGAGGAGAGCCCCCAACTCAGTGCCCACCTGCCCTGGGAGCCCCGGTGCCCCCCACATGCCACCCTGAGCCCTGCTGCTCCAGGCCCTGAAGCAGAGGCAACGAGCAAGAAAGAACAGGAGAAAACGTCCATCTCCAGAGAAAGCCCTCCCACTGCACAGAGAGCGCCCCCCGCCCCCCGAGATCACCCTGCAGGCTGGGTCCCAGGGGGCTGGCAGCCACTCCGCTGGGGTGGGAGAGGCCAAGTCCTCACTATGGCTATCCCCCCACCCAGGGCTTCGTGGGACCTGCAGCCTAAGGTCAATAGGGAGTGGGTATAGCAACCAAGCCCGTACCCCATGCTGGGGGAGGTTCTGGGCCAGCAGTTGGCAGATACCCCCATTTGCACACACACAGAAGCAGGCCCCCGTCTTCTTGGGGAAATCAGGAAGGTGGGACCCAGGGAGGCACGAAGGGCAGGAACCCCCAGACCAGCTCATGGTGTGGAGGGGGAGCCAGGTCAGAGGAGAGGGATGGAACTTCATGCAGAACTGGCGATATTGGGGGACGTGCAGCTGGGCAGAGGGTCTTTGGGTGTCAGATCCTGGCAGGGACTGGACCAGGACCCCAGGGGCCAGGACAGGGCCAGAAGCCTCTGGCCGGGGGCACTGGCTCTGGCACAGGTACTAGGCCCCAAAGCAGGCGCTGGGTGCCATCAGAGCTGCGAGCACTCCGACCTGCATGCCCTTGGACCTGTCCCAGGGGAAGAGGGCAACATCCCCAATATGGCCTTCGTCCTGAGAGCGAGCAGAGAGCAGCGCGTGCAGGCAGCCTCCAGAGCCGCTGGCCCCACGGGCGACAACCTCTTCCACGGTTCCTATGCCTATGGCACTGCCCCGGCGTCCGAATCTACTCGCACTTTTCCCGGGAATAAGCAATGACTGGCAAGCAGCAGAGGAAGGGGCAGAGACAGACAGGCAGAGATGGTCAGAGGGAGAGAGGTGGAGGGAAGGGAAACAGGGAAAAGAGCGAAAGATGGAGAAACAAAGAAGGGAGTGGGACACGGGATTGGGAGACAGAAAGAAAAGGCAGGGGAGGGAAGGAGAGGAGGGAGGGGGGAGAGACAGAGACATGGACAAATGGACGGTTATACAGAGACAGGAACACATAGGAGGAGCCCGTGAGAGGGGCACAGAGTGGAATACAGACAGACAGACAGACAGACACAGATGGGAGGAGACAGACAGAGATGGGAAGGAAGGGGGAGGCAAAAAGGAAAGAGCAAGGGAGAGAGTATGGCAGGAAGGAGGAGGAGAGGGAGTGCCAGAGGACAGGAGACACACAAACATGTAAGAAGTGCAGAGAGGCCAAGGGGAGGAGGAAAGGGGAGAGAACAAGGAGAGAGGAGAGAGCGGCAGGAAGGAAGCAACACGAAGAGAGGGGAGAGTTGTGTAAAAACAAAAACAAAAACAAAAATGGGTCTGGTTACTGCCATGGTGGGTGCTGCTGGCCTGGCCCTGTCTCTGGGGCCCCTCTACAGCCACCCAGGGAGGCGGGCCACTCCAGCAAGGAAATCTGGGTTGGGGGGAGGGTGGGCTTGGTGACTGCTGGGCAGCAGAGGACTTGCTCTCTGGCCAGGCCAGACCATGGGGCAGGAATAGGGGTGGAAGGTCCCTCTCACCACAAGTGACACAGTCTCACGGCACTGAGCACAGGGCTTGGCATGCAGCAGTCAATAAATGAGGGATGGAGGGATGGAGGGGTAAAGAAGGGTGGACGGAGAGGGGGGAGCAGAGCAGTGGGTGCAGTGCCAGGGGTGGCCACGGGGCGGCAGAAAGCAGATAGGCCCACAATTGAATGCCTTGCCCATCCTGTGTGCCCAGCACCCACCCTGAGAATTATTAGTAGCAGAAACCCACAGAGCCTGGCAGACAGTAAGTAATCACACAGTAGGTACTCACTCAGGAGATGCTCACACAGAAGCCCACACAATTCCTGACACACATTAGATAGCCACAGCCACATAGGCCCTGACACACGGGTGCTCACACGGCAGCCTAGGGCCAGGCACACGGAAGGAGGTGCTCACAGAGTAAACGCTCACACAACAGCTCACTTCCTGACACATCAGGCTTAGCACACACGATGTGCTCATTCAGCGGTCCATTCTGACATACAGAGGTTCTCACACACAGTAGGTGCATACAGAGTTTATGCCCACACAGCAGCCCAGGACCTGACACACAGTAGGTGCTCACAGAGTCCATGTCCACACAACAACCCAGGTCGCCACCAGTGTTTCAGGGCCAGGCACACAGCAGGTGCTCACACAGAAACCCAGGTCCTGACACAGAGTGCATGCCCACAGCCTAACACACAGTTGGTGCTCCCAGAAATTCAAGTAGGTGCCCGCACAGCAGCCCAACTCCCAGCACACAATAGACGGTAGGTGTTCAATGAGGAATGTGATATAGAGGCTGCCCCAGCGCTGACCCGAAGTCACACTTGAATAAGGGGCCAGGAGGAGTGGAGGGCCGAGAAGCTGGGAAGGAGACGGAAGGCTCTCGGCACCGCAGTGCCTGGCCTGGGCCCTTGCCCACCATGGAGAGCAGTGGCCAGACGGAGTCCAGAGCCCAGGATGGAGGACCCTGAGGCTGCAGGACCCTGGGGGAGGGGAGAGCTGAAGGCCCCGGGGAGGCACTCACTATTCCAGCGGCCTTGGCCAGGTCAGGGTTGTTGGGTGCGAAGCTCCCGCTGTGGCTGGTGGACACGGTGTTGGGCTTCTTGTTGCTGAGTCCCATGGCATCCATGGACTGGCTGCGGCTCCGAATGACCCGCTGTGAAGGTGGGGTTGGGGTGGAGGAGGCACCGGTTTCTGAAACACCTGCTCCTCAGGGAAACCCAGGCACCTGGTTCCTCCCCACAAATGACCACTCTGAGTGCAAGAAGTCCTTTCCCATGAGGCCACACACAGTCAGGTCCACATGGTGCCAAGGGTAGTTTGGGCCTTGGCTCTGCCGCCAACTCACTGGGTGAACTAGTGCAAACCACTCACCCCCGAGCCTGTGAGCCCCTCGTGTGGATGGGGTGAGTATTAAAGAAAGTACTGGGTCACGGCCACAAGTGTGCACAGAGAGCCCTCCCGAAGCCTTTTTTTAAAAAAAACATATTTTACTGATTTTTTACAGAGAGGAAGGGAGAGAGTTAGAAACATCGATGAGAGAGAAGCATCAATCAGCTGCCTCCTCAACACCCCCTACTGGGGATGTGCCCGCAACCAAGGTACATGCCCTTGACCGGAATCGAACCTGGGACCCTTCAGTCCGCAGGCCGGCGCTCTATCCACTGAGCCAGACCGGTCAGGGCTAGGAAGCCTTCCTAAAGCTTCTGGTCCTCCCTCCCTGCTTCTCTCAGCCAGGGCACCCTGAGTGCTTCCTAGGGGCCAGGCACCCCGCATTGGCCATTGCCCTGTGAGGCAGGCACCACTACACGCCCATTTACACAGGCAGAAGCAGCAGAAGCACGTCTGGAGCCCATATGTCAAACCCAAATCCTTAACTGTGGGCTCGGACCAATCGAGGGCCACCATCCAGCACCCACACGATGTGGGGTCACTGGAGCCCTCCCTCAGAGAAGACACCCACCCCCGTGCTCACCCCACCCAGCCCTGTCTCCAGTGGGCAGAGGCAGGCCTCTCCTTGGGCCCCTTTCTCAAAGACAGTCTGTTCCCTTCAGTCCAGGGCAGGCCTGGGCAGCTGGGCTAAGCCCCTTAAACGAGCCCAGGGCTCCAGCTTCGTGGTCTGGGATGAGGTGGGCCCGACCGGCCTGGCTGGGCACTAGGAGGATGGGCATCCTCCTCCTGTGGGTGGAGGAGACAATGGCAAGGAAGCCACCCCCTGAGCTTCCCCTGGCTATTCTGGCGCTATGAGAGGAGGAAAGGAACTCCCTCTGCCTCTCACTTTGGACAACAGTTGCTGAGGCAGATGGACAGAATTCTGCATTTTGCTCATTAACTTTTATCGTACTGATCTAACTGTTCTACAAATCATTGTCAGCAACTGTGTACGTTGTCATTACCCTACCAGACAAGAAACGGAGGCTCCGGGAATGATCAAGCTGGCGAGTGACAGAGCTGGGGTTTGAACCGGGGAGTCTGTGCTCTTCACACTAAACTAAACCAGAGAGCCAGGCGGGTCACACACGCTGAGGGTCACGGCAGGTCCCTCTCCGATGGCCACTTGGTTCACACGCCCCTCCAGGACCTGTTTCTTTACTTCCATCAGGACAGGGCCTCCTCCTCTTTTCACCTGCTGACCCGGCAGCCACCACATTGGCATCCGAGACACCCTATTGCCACCCAGACACTCCAACTGCACCCCAACCCTCAGGGAGCCTGGCCTCCAACCAGTAACTCCTCCCTGGGCAGCGCCCACTTTACAGTTCCAACTGCAAGTTCCACCCTGTCACAGAACACACTAAGTCCACCCTCAAGCCCAAGCGAACCACTCCCCCACCCACCTGCACCCCCACGGTGAGCGTGCCTCTAGCCACGCCCCCACCCACCTGCACCCCCACGGTGAGCGTGCCTCTAGCCACATGCCCACCCAACGGCACCGCTCCGGTGAGGTGAGCCTCCCTCTAGCCACACCCCCACAGGTGTCCATACCCCCAGAACCACGCCCCCACCCAGCTCCGCCCCCACGGTGAGCCCGCCTCTAGCCACACCCCCACACGTGTCCATACCCCCCACGTCCCCACCCAACTCCACCTCCACGGTGAGCGCGCCTCTAGCCACACCCCCACACGTGTCCATACCCCCCACGTCCCCACCACCTCCATTGAGCCCGCCTCTACACTGACCACGCCCCCACCAACTCCGCCCCCAAGATGAGCCCGCCTCTAGCCAGGCCCCCACACGTGTCCATACCCCGAACCACGCCCCACTCAGGTCCCTGGCCCTCGGAGCCCAGGTAGACCCGGCCCTTCACCTTGAAAGACTCGAAGAAGCCGCCGCCCCCGCCTCCGTTCTCCAGCTTGTCGTCGTCGCCGCCCAGGCCCATCATGGACTGGCTGTGCACGTGCAGGTCCTCGTACAGCGTCTCCAGGAGGGCCACGCGCGTCCGCTCCTGGGGGCCGGGCCCGCGTCAGGGGGGACCCAGCGATCAGCCCCTGGTCCCACCACTCGAGTCCCGGCTGCCTTCTCGGACAGAATGGGGAGTGGGCCTGCGCCCCCGCAAGCCTACGCCCGGCCTCCCAGGCCCCAAGATCCGGCCTCCTGTCCCCGCCCCCAAGGAGCCTGCCCACCTCGGAGCCCCGCCCGGGCATTCCTCGCGCATCCCCAGGAATGCCCTGCATCCTCTCTCCCCTGACCAGCTGTGCACAGCCCGAAGTCCTGCTCCCCCTGGCAGCCCTCCCCAAGCCCGCGATCTGAACAGGCTTTGCCCTCCGGGGGCCAGCTCTGAAATTCCAAGCTGGAGCCCATCCTCACCTCCAGTTTGGCAAACTTCTCTGCCTTGTAGCAGGCATATTCCGCATTGATCAGTTTTGTCAGCAAAAATTCCTGGAACTCGGGCCCCTGGGAGCCCCCGTGTGGAGAAAGGAAAGAGGGAGGGGGGGTCAGGCGAACAGAGACAGGAGCTGAGCCCTCTGTCCCGGGCTGGAGTCCCCTGAGCCCCAACTGCTGGAGCCCAGAAGTCGCCCTCTTCACCCCAGGGGACCTCCTTGGGCTCAGCTCCCCAACCCAGGCACCTGTGAGGGCCCCTGTGCCCTTCATGGCTGCCCACCCCTCAGGAGAGCAAACCCACAGAAGTCAGGGGCTAGGTCGGGGTCCCCGACTGCCTCAGCCTGTGGGGGACTGAAGCCAAGGCTCTAAGTGTGGCTTCTGGGAGGAGAGAGACCTGTGCCCCCTCCCCAGACATTTTAGACGAAAGAAGACTCATTGTCAAAAAGAACAGAAATGAGGAAGGGCCACAGAGTCTGCTACGAAACATGTAAAAAATGTAAAACAGTGACATAGTTTGTCCTGTGCCTTTGTAAATAAAGGTCAGTGTTTATCAAGATAAACAGAAAAGCCAGGCCCCGGGTGCACAGCTAGGGGAACCCAGCTGCCCTGGCACACAGTGGGGCTTCGGGACCTAGTATGGCAGAATGTGGGTCCCCATCTCAGCCCCCACCAATTGGGTCCTGCCCATGACAGGGCTGGGCAGCCTCTCACCTTCCTGAACACAGCAGGGTCCGGGAGCGGGGGCCCAAAGAAGGGCACGTCATCTCTGGCCGTGACAGAGACCTGGAAGGGAGGGCACCAGTCCCTGTGGGTCCCCACACCCGCCAGAAACCCTTAATTCACCACCCTATCCCGTCCCATGCTGGGCACAGGGCCTGCTCCTTGGTGGGGGATGTTCACTGGCTGCTGATAGAGTGACTGAACCCCAGGATCTCAGCTCCTCCATCCTGGGCCCTGAATTTGAGTGGTGGGAAGGGGTCTCAGGAGTCGTCGGGGATGATGAAGGGGGAGGAGGCTCACCGGCCTCTTTGAGAGGGGAGCTTTGGGGAGCAGAGAGGGCAGGATGGGAAGCCTCCATCATTGGAGCAAGAGGGGGACTTAGAGCCCTCAGGACAGTCCCCCTGTTTACAGGTGGGAAAACTGAGGCCTCATCCTGGGAGGCTCTGAGATCACCCACCTTATAGAGGGGGCCGCCGGGCCCCCCGCCCTCGGCCTGCACCACCACATAGGCGTGCAGGAAGTTGGACGCAATCATGTCAGGCACAAAGGGCGTGTTCTCATCCTGGAAGACCACAGCGACGATGTCATTCCCGATGTGCCGCTTTCGCTGCAACTGAGCACAGGGCCACGGCCTTCACAACCTGGCCAGGGGGGGCCACTGGGCGGGGTGGAGGGGGGCAGGGGGGCGCAGGGGTTTGGGAGAGCTCTGGGGTAGGCAGGGGACACATCTAAGGATTCGCTTCTCTCTCCAAAAATGTGGTGAGGAACTTGTCTTCAAATTATGTTCGTTTTCTTGGAATCCTGTGACAGATGAGGCAACTGAGGCCAAGAGAGACATGACTTGCAAGGCCCTACAGTGAGTTGGGGGACTCGAACCCAGGGCTCCTGGTCCCTAGGCCCTACCTCTCAGCCCTTCTTCTAAATACCCCTAACATGGCCCCTCCTGAACAAACAAGTTCCACCCGGTATAAATTCATGTGGCTAAAATGAACAGAAAATCTTCTTAAAAGAAAATAAAATGACAGTAAAAGTAAAAAATAAATATTTTCTTTTTTTCTCACATTTCCGTTTTCTCCCCCTGGCGTGGGGGTGGAGTGGGCTAAGGTAGAGACCCGCAGGCAGCTTAGGGCAAAGTGACAAATTTCTCAGTTCAGCTCCTGGAACACGCTCTACCCTTCCTCATAGCCAGACCTTTACAGAAGCAGTTCTCTCCACCTGGAACCCCCCCTCACTTCTCCCAGCTGCCTCACAGCCTAAAAGGCACTTTATCTTGAAAGCTTTTCCTAACTCTCACCTCTGCCAAGTCTAAGTACCCCCACATGACCCCACAATGCCCTTCACTCCCAGTAAAAATACTCATATTGGTTGAGCTTTTGCTCTCCCAGATACTCTTCTAGCCACTGTATGTGTATCCTTCCTTTACACTCACCTATGAGGTAGGTGCCATTATGATCCTATTTCACAGATGTGGAAACTGAGGCTTTCACAACTTTGTTCCAGGTGGCTCCCTGCCACCTGCCCCAAGTAGAGCCCAGAAGGAGGGGGGACTGGATCACCTCCATCTTCCACATCCCAGGGCCCACCGAGCCGGTGTGGTGGACACTGACTGGACAGGTAGTGGGGGACAGGAGGACAGGTGGGAAGCAGGTGAGTGGGTGCCCAGGCTACCTGCTGGGCGTCCCCTTCTGTGTAGGGCAGCTTGGTGGACACGTGAAACATGATCTCCTTGTTGCGGAAGTTGCAGTACACAGACTCGGTCCCCGTCTGCCCGTGGGTCACGTCCAGGCCTCCGCGGAACCTGCCCCCGGCCCCCCAGGCCACGGCTCAGTCTCCAGCCCCAGCCAGGCCTCCTTGGGGCCAGGACGGGGGCTCCCTCCCTGCCCAAGATTACAGCCTGTTTATCCCTCCCTAATGCTCACCCCTTAAAGTCCTGCAGTTTGACCTTCTGGCCAAGAAATTCGAGGAACTCCACAAAGGCAGGGCTCTCCTCATTGGTACTGAAGAGCTCCTCCTCGGAGGTCTGGGGACACAGAGGGCAGAGGTCATGGAGCTGCAGCACCTGGGCCGCCCTCCCCGCCACCCCAGAGAAGCCTGGAAGGAGGACCTCTGGCAGCCACGGGAAACTGAGTCCCTGGGGAGGTGCTCTCCCCGGCAAAGGTCTGAGGTCCCAGGTACACGGCCAGGTGGGTGGGGGAGCAGGGAGGAGGAGGAGGTGAGCACACCTGCCCAAGCTTCTGATAAATGACTCCAAACTTGAAGTTGTTGCTGATGACGTGTTCATCAAAGGTGACGATGAGCCGGGAGGCCTGGGGGGAGAGGACAAGGGGTGAACAGACTGCGTTTCCAGGTTGTCATTTACTGCTCTTACTATGTGCCAAGCACTGTGGCCGATATGCATCGTCTCATTTAATCCTCAGAACAAATGCATGAGGCAGACATTCCTGCCGCTCCCATTTTACAGATGAGAAACCAAGGCTCAGAGCTTGTCTCAGGCCAACACCTTGCAAGGCAGAGCTGGGACTTGAACTCCGGTCTGTTGGACTCCAGAGCTCAAGCTCATTGCTGAGTTTTGTCTATAAACCCTCACCCCAACTCCATGCTACAACACCCAGCTCCCTCCTTGCTCCTCTGTAAACCCATCTCATCAGTCTACAACAGGCCAAGGCCCACCAACTTGCTGTGGGACCTCGAGCCAGTTCCCTCCTCACTTTGGGCCTCGGTTTCCCCTCCTGTAACTGAGATGGAATCTAATTTCCGAGGCCCCTTCCTTTAGGGACGTTTCCTGGACCACATGACCCCTCAGGCACCGCATCTTGCTCTAGAATTCCGTCAGAGCCACAGGGCCCACATGTCTTTCAGGCCCACCTCTTTCAGGAAGCCCCCTGGCTCGCTAAAGAGAGAAGTCCCTACCCTTTTCCCACATTGTTACCACGCCCGGAAGTGCAGCTGCTGTCTAGGCAGCATTGATGAAGGTGCCTGTGTTATTCTCTCACCAGGTCCCTCTGGGGTCGGAAGGCAAGGCCAGTGAAGTCCCCTGGCTTGGGAACACCAGTTGCCCTTGCGAGGGTCCCCAAATTACACTGAGAGTTTCCAGAGGTAAGGCACGCCCCTCCCCACCCCCACCCTCCACAATCCTGGCTGCCAACACTAGGTTTAAATGCAGACCTTTATTATCTGCTGTGCACCCCTGGGTAAGACACAGAACCTTTCTGGGCTCCAGTTCCTCTTCTATAAACTGTGGACTTCGCAGGGTTATTGTGAGGATTAGATGAGAAGCTTAAGAAAAATACCCTGCACACTGCAGGTGCCCATAAGTGCTCAGTGCCCTGCTCACCCACCCACTTCAGTGAGCAGGGCCCAGGGCCCGCCATACCTTGGGGTAGAGCACAGGATAGAATCGATCCACATTCACATCTTCGCACACCAGCTGCAGGAGGAGATATGGGGGTGCCTGGAGGTGGGGACAGGAAGGGGGGGCCCTCTGGGCCTCCCAGGCCAAGTCGGGAGGGAGCGGGGGAGGCACGGTGCAGAAAGGAGAGGGAACCACCAAGGTGGAAGCAGTACTGTGGGCTCACTGCTGCTCAGAATGGGGTGTGGAGAACTGGGGTCTCCCGTTTCTGAACGTGCTCTAAAAGAGTGCCGAAACACACAGGCAGGGGACAGGGCCCAGCACATGGACATCACGGGACATGTGAGAGGCAGGACCTCAGAGATGGGGCCACAGCACACAGGGCTAGGACCTGGAGCTGAAGATGAGAGCATGCTAAGCCCTCACACTGTGTGCCCCGCCCGCCCCCAGAGGTGTGCAAAGGGGGCCCCGCATGAAGGAGCAGAGGCCTCACCTTTGCCATCTGGACCACGTTGGGGAACTCGGTGAGGCAGGAGATGGGGATGACATCGTGGTATGTCCGGCACTTGGTCCTGGGAGGAGAAAGCCCGCGGTGCAAGGCTAGGCAGCGGGAAGGGAGGTGGGAGCCCCTCCACACTAACATGCTGTGCAACCTCAGGCCGATCCTTGGCCCTCTCTGGGCCTCCGTTAGAAGAGTGGGTAAAATGAGACGAATTCTCAGATTATAAGACCTCAGTCCTCCCTGCTGTCGCAGGGCCCCTCACCCCACCCTCACCTGAGCAGCAGCCGCAGGTGCTCCTGGTCCCCGATGACATCATATTTGAGTGAGAAGACAAGGTGGCCCAGGGCAGCGTCCAGGGAGTAGTAATTGAAATGCTCCTGTGGGGGCGGCAGAGGCCAGGGGAGTGGGTGAGGCGGAGCGTGGGGTTTCTGGGAACCAAACCGGAAAGCCAGCTCACTCCTAGACAGGGTCCTTCACCCAGCAGCAGGTGTCCGGCTAACAGCAGGCTCTGCACCGGACAGACCTGCCCTCAAGTCCCACTTGGCCACCTGCCAGCTGGGGAGCCTGAGAAGGTCACCTCACCTTCTGTGCCTCAGTGTCCTAGTCTGGGAACCAGAAGGGAGGCCTCCTACCTGTGGGGTGGTGGCAGGGACTGAGAGGGATAGAGTGCCTGGCACAGAGTAGGTGTCCAATGGACATTTACAGAAACCCCGGCTCTCTGGGTTCTCACCAGTTTCAGGACCCCATCTGGTATCTCCAAATCTGTGTCCCAGCCCTGCCTTTCTTAGCACTGAGCACACAGTAGGGGCTCAATTAAAATATGTTGACTGACTGATTGCTCAACCTGTGGCCCCTGGAGCCAGGGCCCGTGGGAAACAGGAAGTGAAACATCTCATGAACACACTGGGCGGCTGACCGGGCAGGTTCCCGCCCTCCTGCCTCGTCGGAAGAAGCTGCAGGTGGGAAGGAATGGGAGAAATATCCCAGAGGCCACAAGGGGAAGCTGCTGCAGGGACAGTTCCCCCAGAGAGGAGCCCCGGGCTGGTACCTCCAGAGGGGGAAGTCCCAAAGCCGAGGGCCAGAAGTGCTGGGAGATTACACCCCAGCCTAGCCTGGGCTCCCCCTGCCAGCCCCGACTCTGGGAGTGTGCAGGCTCCCCAGCCACACCCACCCCAGGAGTCATCCTGGAAGTCAGTCCTGTTTAAACATGAACACCTGTGCTCAGAGGGCAGGCAGAGAAGGAGGCAGGGGCCGGGGATGTGCTCAGGGAGAGTCCGGGGCAGAGTCCCCCTCAGCCCTGCCTGGGCACAGAGTGATGGAAAACCCCAAGTGCTTGGCACCATCTGCAGAGAGGGAGTGGCAGGCACTTGGCAAGGAGGGCTGCACCAAGTCCTCACGGTGGGGAGTTTCCCCAGACCCCGTACCTGAGCCCAAGGAGCCCAAGGCGCGCAGTGGGAAAGTAGGCTCAGGGTCCCAGAAAGTCAGTCTCCCAAGTCATCCTGACCTCCGCCTCGGCCAGAACAGGCCCCAGTGCTTCCCCAGTCACCCCACCTGGAGGCAGGAGGTGGCCCTGGCTCTCTACCAGCCCCCGGGGTCCCCTCCACTCTGTGTTGCGAACCCAACTCTGGTCATCATGCCCAACTTGTACCTCCCCAGATCCTTCTGTGCTCGAGGCACTTGCTCTGTCACTTGTCCTTTCTTGGCAGACTTTTCTGAGTGCCAACGATGTGCTAGGCCCACCCAGTCCCCCAGACCCCACCAGCTGCCAGGCCCAGCTAAGAGCCTCCGGACAGTGGGTGGCAGGATGCAGGTCTCTCAGCTGGAGGCAGAATCCCATGCCCTGTACTGGCTTTGTCCCAGGCAATGGCTCCTGAACCAGGACCAGGCCAATGCCTTGGGCCCAGACTGAGGTCACACAGCTCCTAACTCCCCAAGGAGTCACCCCTCCTCCCAACACACACGTGTGCACACGCACACACATGCCTAGCAACATGGCCCTTCCCAAAGCATGTCCTTTTAAAAATATGACATATAACTATAAATTTAAGATTTATAACATGTTACTTTGACACATTCATGTACTGTAGTATGATTGTCGTTGTAGCAGTATTTATCGCATTACATAATTATAGTTCAATATTGTTGTCTGTTCCCATAGCGTGTCTTGATGGAAGGTCAGCCAGAGCTAACTCAATTCTTAGCAGTTTCCTCTTCTGAAAGACTAGGCAATCCTGATCTCACAGCGTAATTAAGATGTGATAATCACAGCTAACATTTATCACGCACTTACCATGTGTCAGGCATGGTTTTCTAGGCTTCAATGTACTTTTATTACCTCGTTTTTATAGACAAGGAAACAGGCTCAGGAAGGTTAAATAACTTGCCTGAGGTCACACCATTAATAAACAGAAGAGCCCCGATTCCCACCCAGGCCTCGAGATCCTGGAGCCACGCTACAACCTGTCGCCTCAGAGAAAACCGACCTAGAGACAGCACCTGGGGTGGAACTGGGCACATACAGGGTCCCAGCGTGGGACCCCCCTCCAGCTCCCACCAACTTGCCCAATCACTCTGGCCTGGAACCCCGCTCGGTGACACTCTGACAAGTTGGGACCAGGCAGGGTCCCTGCTCGGGGGCTGGTGATGGGGTGAGGGTTGCATCAATCCAGGTCACGCCATGGCATTACTGTGTCTTCCCACCCCATACCTCAAGCCACCTGAGGGCAGGGCCTGGGGAGATTTTGTCTGCTGCTCCACACCTGGTGCCGTGAACAGGGCCACGCACACTCTGTGCTGGACGCCATTCTAAACTCTACCAGCACCCTGCCATAAAGCCTTGCCAACCTTCTGCGGTGGGTACCACCATCACCTCCGTGTCCGCAGCTGAGGAAACAGGCACAGGGAGTAAGTCACTGGCCTGATGTCCCGTGCAGCAAGTGGCACAGCCAGGACGCAGACCCTGGTAGCATCTCTGCTGTGGACTGTCACGCCGTCAGACTGCTTCTCGCGATCAATGTTTGTTGAATGAATGAGTGCATCCACTACGCATGCTCCCCGAGACTCCGGCTCTGGGACTGTCACCCAGCCCCAGCCCGAGGGTTCTCTTCCTCCCAGACCGAGACCCCGAGACCTGCTGGAAGGGGGGCCGAGAATCCACCCTCTCACAGCACCCACCTTGCCGAGAAAGTGCTTCCGGTAGATGCGGGCTGTGGGGTTGCACTCCAGCTTCACCTTGGTCGTGGGTGACTGCAGCGGCTCTGTCTCCGGGATGCTGGTGATTTCGTGGTTGGTGCCTTCAATCCAGTAGCCCCCAAACTGGGGCAGCAGGATGAGGGGGAAGGGCCCTTCTCGCCCCAGGACCTGAAGGGGGACTCGGTTGAGAGCCACCCACACTACACCCCACCAGGGACCACAGGACAACTCCCCAGCTCAGACCTCGGGACAACCCAGACACTACACAGGTCCCAGACCACATGGAGCCTCCCCCCACGTCCTGTTCTCAAAGATGGGGGTGGGGACGGAGAGCCAGGAGCAGGACCTTGGCAGAGAGGCTGAAATGTGTTGCTCAGAGGCCTTGGGTTCAAATGCACTCTGAAGGCTTTGGCCTGTAAACCGAGTCTCTAACTCAGCCGTGGGCAAACTACGGCCCGCGGGCCGGATCCGGCCCGTTTGAAATGAATAAAACTAAAAAAAAAAAAAGACTGTACCCTTTTATGTAATGATGTTTACTTTGAATTTATATTAGTTCACACAAACACTCCATCCATGCTTTTGTTCCGGCCCTCCGGTCCAGTTTAAGAACCCATTGTGGCCCTCGAGTCAAAAAGTTTGCCCACCCCTGCTCTAACTGGTTAGACTCCTGACAGGGCGGAGAACGGGGCACCCCAACTCCCTGGGTGAGTGCCTTCCAGCTTGGGGCGAGGATGGGCTCGGGGGGCTCCAGTGGGTTACCTCGTGGACACTTGGGTAGGGAATGTAGTCCTCCTCCGTCTGCAAAACACAATCAGGGCCGAGGCCCAGCGGGGATGGGTCCGTGCCCTTCCCCCCCAGCCTCCCCAGAATGCTCCTTGTTTGGCCAGTACCAGGCTGGGAGCATCTCCCCATCTCGCAGGTGGGGCAGGGCTTGCTTTGGGGTGACCCCACGAGGCTGAGGCTGAAGCAGGCTTAGCTCACTGAGTACTGGCAGCCTCTTCTGGGCCTGATCCTGCCTGGGGAGGAGGAGGCTCGCTGCCCACCCCCGCACCACCACTCCCCCTCCCCCACTCCCGCCTGAAGGAGCCTCCAGACCAGTGGTTTTCGGTGCATCAGAACAGCCTGGGGGCTCATTAAACACAGGTGGCTATGAGCCACCCCAGAGTTTCTGATGCCCTAGGTCTGGGGGGCCCAAGAATTCACATTCTCACAGCTCCCAGGTGGTGTTGATGGGGCTGGTCTGAGGACCACGCTTGCTTTGAAAACCCCTGCCCTGGACAAAGATCAGGCTTATGCCCATGAACCCCCTTTAATTCTCCCCCCTGAAGCGCTAAGCCTACTCCCCCAGGCCCAGCTGCCAGTCTTCTTAGATGGTTGGGGTCCCAAATCACCAACCAGAGAACCACATGCCTACCTGGAGAGGCTATATGCAGTCCCCCCACCCCCCAAGGAAAATGTGAGACCAAACAACAGCCTCCCTCTCCCCATACCCCCTCCCCCTCAGCCTTTCAGGTAGGAGCTACAGGGAGCAGGAGTTTGAGTCTGGGTTTGAGTCTTTCTACAACTGCTTATCATAACTGGCTTCCAGGAAAACCGTTTACGTAGGCCATCTTGTGAGGGATGGGGCTTCGACGCTGGGCGGGGAGGCCTGGAGAGGCCTGGAGAGGCAGGGTGAGGTCGCAGTGCTGAAGGCTGGTGGGGAGGAGCTGGACTGAAGGTCCCAGACCTATAGCAAGGGAGGGGTGCTCCACACATCTCAGAACTCCTAGAGGGCCAGACCGGACGGAGCTGGGTACCCCAGCACCCAGCCCCTACGACAGCCGTGGGCAAACTACGGCCCGCGGGCCGGATCCGGCCCGTTTGAAATGAATAAAACTATTGAAAAAAAAGACCGTACCCTTTTATGTAATGATGTTTACTTTGAATTTATATTAGTTCACACAAACACTCCATCCATGCTTTTGTTCCGGCCCTCCGGTCCAGTTTAAGAACCCATTGTGGCCCTCGAGTCAAAAAGTTTGCCCACCCCTGCCCTAGGAGGACAACTTCATGAAAGGGGATGGGTTCTCCTGGCCTGGCTGCTTGGTGAGCAGCTGTGGTAGGACTTCCCAGGCCAACCCCACCCGAGGGAGGGAGTCTGCCTGCTCCTCCCAGCCCAGGTCCCCAAGCCCTTGGAGAGGCTGCTGAGGAAGCCCAAGGATGGGTAGGGTGGTCACGGTTCAGACCTACCTTGAGGGGTGGTGGGAAGGAGCATCGTTGTTCATCCATCCTGCTTCCCTGCAAAGAGAGGGCAGCACTTCCTGTTACACCCCTCCCGCCCTTCACACCCCTCTCATGCTCGCTGCCGGGCTACCTCCCCTGGGCTCACAGCCCTTCCTGTGTCAAAGGGAAAGTCCGCCCAGGTGGGGTACTCCGGGGCAGGGTGCTGCTTCGCTCAGGCCTCTCTGCAGGCCTGGCCGTCCTGCTGGGAAGTAACCTGGGCTGTGGGAGGCGGCGGCGGCAGGGAGGGGCTGGGGGCTCTGTGCGGGAATGCCTGCCGCTGGGAGTGGGGGCAGGGGTGGTGTGCGTGTGCCTGTGTGAGTGTGGGGAGCAGGGAGGGAGGCTATTGCATCTACACAGATACGTGTTGTTGAGAGAGAGGGGGAGGGAGGGAGAGACCCGGAGAGGGAGAGGGGGAGAGGGGGAGAGAAAGAAAAAGAGAGGAGGAGGGGAGAGATGGACACAGAAAGACTAAATGAGAGGCAGAGAAACAGGAAGGGGCAGGTGAGAGGGTGTAGGGGGTGAACTGACACTAGGGAAAGCTTCTGCGGTTTTTTCTACTCATCCCAGCCCCCTGACCACCTCCCAGCACATGCCCTTGCAAAAAACAGACAAGGGCTTGGAAGCCCAGGGCTGGGCAGTGGAGGGTGGGCAGGGGTCAGGCAGAGGGGGCGGGGCTGCCTAGCTTATCGACACCTCCCCCTCCCTGCAGCACAGCTCTGGCTGCCCTGAGCCCTGGCATCTGCCCCTCCTCCCATTTTACAGGATGGGGGGGGGGGGCTGCAGAGTCTGTGATGCCTCTTGGGGGGTTGAAGTGGAGACCCCAGCTCTGTGAGAGGAGGGGGTAGAAGGTAGGGAGGCACACAAGTGGAACCTGGACCCCCAGGGTCAGATAGGGAGTTGGGCCCTACCAGTCCCCATCCTCTACTCTGGACAGAGCGCTCTGGACAATACACTGCCACCGTCTCCTCCCTGCATGGCCTGTCTTCAGAGAGGTGTGGGGCAGGAGATGTAGCCAGGGCCCGCCACCCCCAGCCCAGCCCGTCTGTGGCTCCCAGCCCGTCTGGGCAATGGATCCAGCCTCACCTGCATCTTTTCAATCATCTCAAACAGATCTGTGTTCTGCAACAGAGATGGGGAGAGAGCAGGTCAGGCCTCAGGGTGGTCTAGCTGATCCTGCTGAGCCCCCAAGGAGTCTGCACCCATCCGTCCTGGTCCCCCTAACTCTGACCAACCACCCTGGACCTGTCAACCCAGAACCCAGGCCTCCGCAGGGCAGCACACCCCACTTCGTCCCCTTCCCCAAAGGAGGAGGCTGGCACCTCAGACAGAGGGGTGTGACCCCTGGGGAAAGACACAGCTTCCCCATGTCACTATGAGGTTGGCAGTGCCAGGATCGGCCCATGCACCCCTGAGAAGAGCCCCAGGTCCCAGCTCCCCAGAGGAGCTTAGCTGGGACCCTCAGGAGGATCTGGGGTTCCACCCTCACCCTTAAGCAGTGTGGGGTGGGGGCTGTTGGGGGAGAGGACGCTGGGGTGTCCAATTGGCCCAACATGCGTGTGTGTGAGTCCACAGCACCCCTCACCCCTCACAGACAGCCTCTGCTGTGGCTAGCCAGGGCACACGCAGGGTTAATCGGGCATCTGCCAGCTGCCTTGGCAGCGTCAGCCTCTCCAGCGCCAACTCCCTGTGAGCCTTCCTGGAAGGCGGCATCCTTTATGGCTGGTGGGGCAGGGGGCTGGGCCTGGGAAGCCCCCAGAGTCTCCAGGAGGGCGCCTCTCCCCCAACCCCTCCCAGCTCCTGCTGCCCAGTGGGGGCACCACCCGAGCTCACACACATGTGCTATGGGGCTGTGCACCAGGAAACATACTCTTTCTCTCTCTCTCTTGCTCAAACACACACGCACAAGCCTACACACCAATATTGAAACAGTCTCACTGCACCAAAGAAAGCAAACACAAACCCACGGGGTCTCACCACACCAACTCTGAGACTCAAAGCTATACACTGACCCGCAAACACCCATGTTGGTGTCCTAAGTTACACAACAGCACGCCCACTCACACACGGGTCCATGTGCAAGAGCCACACGCACAAATGCAAACCCACCCCTGTGCAGATCTGCACACCAGCAACTGCACCCGAAGCTACACAAACACCAGGTCTGCGTGTGGAGACACAGTAACAGGCACTCACACATACAGGCAGGCACGTTCATGGAAACTCGCTACGGAGCCCCACTCCCACGTACTTTCCCCATCGGAGTCACACACCCTGTGGCTCAGGCATGAAAGACTTGATCCCACAACAGTAAATGAGTTTTGAGAAAAAGGAAAAGCACACAGTGGTTAATCACCAGGGGTGAGGGTCACAGGCATGATCCTCACACCTAGCTGAGTACACACCACCCACCTCTCTCTCTCTCTCTCTCTCTCTCTCTCTCTCTCTCTCTCTCTCTCTCTCTCTCTCACACACACACACACACACACACACACACACACACACAGCTCTGTTAAAAATCATGAGACACAAACACCCCATGTGTACACTCTGAGGCTTGACCACAGGGACAAAACCCACCCCGTGAAATGCACCACCAGAGACACTGACCCATGGTCACCTGTGGCCACACCCAGGGCTTCTGAGCTTGGACGATACAATTCCACAGGCAGAGCAGAGGCCAGACACACACCTGCAGTGCAGGTAGACAAACATGCCCGTCAGCCCAGCAGCCTGCACAGCAGCAGCGTCGGCATCTATGCCCACACCACTTCAGCCCAGCAGTGATGGGGTGCACTGGTGTCCCCCAGAGCACCCCCCTCAGGGTGACCTAACAGGGCCAGGAACAATGCAGCAGCGGGAGTCACATCCACGCTGACACACGGTATTGTCACCAGAGTGTTCACACAGCAACAAGTGCCACCCACAGTGACAGCCTCACGGAGCAACAGATGCCCTGACCCATGGAGGACTGTGAGCCAAGTGGCCCAGAGCGTCACGCAAAGTTACACTGACATACACCTGAACGGGGGCAGGGGGTGGACGGAACGGTCCCAAAGCTAGCGCGCCTGCACGCGCACACACACACACACACACACACACACACACACACACAGCCACTGGAGCTCGTTCCGTGGGCAGTGGCAGCGAGAGCCCAAGGCCCGACCCTCGGGCAGGGGTGTGCCCTGTGCGCCGTGGCACGGTGTCAGTCCAGGAGCTGCTAACACACGCTCCATGGCGGTGCCTCGCACACGCGCCCTGGCCGGGGCACAGCCTGCCGGCTCCACGGAAGTCGGGCTGACCCGGCGGCTCCGGCTGAGCCCCTCGGCCAGGCCACCTCGTCCCGATCCTCACCTGCCAGCCGGCCCCCGCGGGCAACGAGCCCCTCCGCGGACGGCTGGGGGGCGCCGGGGACCGCAGCTGTGCCATCCTGAGCCCGGCCCGACCTCAGCCCCCGCCCCGGCGGCGCTTCAGTTGGCCCAGCGGCTCCGGCCCGGGCCCCGCAGCGCCAAGCTCCGCGCTCCGGGTCCGGCTCCGGCTCCGGGCGGCGCGCTGCCTGCGCTGGGCTCGCCCGGCGGCCGGGCCCGGAGGGGGCGGGGCGCCAGGTACGGGCAGCGCGGGGCGGGGGCGGGGCTGCGGAGATCCGGGGCGGGGACACCGAAACCCCGCCCCCGCCCTCCCCTCACCCGCCAGCGGCCAGACCCGCGGCCCGGACACTGCGCCTGCGCGCACTTGCCGGAGTGTTGGAAGATTTCAGCGCACGGGGCCTCGGGCACCCCCAGGCTCTCCCCAGCGCTCCCGCACCCCGCCTTCTCTATCTTCCCAGACTTTGGGTGCCCTGCCTCAGGGCCTCGGGGACGGGGTTCCTGGGACCGGCTGTGAAGCCAGGCAGGATAATAAGGGGGTTACCTTGGAGACTTTCCTTGAGTACCTACTGAATGCTGGACCCTTGGCAAATCTCATTCTCTCCCCACCACCCGTGTGATGCGGGTGTCATTCCCATTTTACAGAAAAGAAAACTGATTCTACGAGGTGAATATCGTGCTCAAGATCACAAAGCTAGCGCCTGGCTGGTGTGGCTCAGTGGTTAAGTGTCGACCTGTGAACCAGGAGGTCACAGTTTGATTCTGATTAGAGCATATGCCCGGGTTGTGGGCTCGATCCCCAAGGTGGGGCGTACAGGAGGCAGCTGATCAATGATTTTTCTATCTCTCTCTCTCTCCCTCTCCCTTCCTCTCTGAAATAAATAAAATAAAATAAAATAAAATAAAACAAAATAAAAGAAATTAAATAAATAAATAAAATAAAATATCACACAGCTAGGAAAGGCAGAACTAGGAATCCAAGGAAAGGCCTGGAGTTGCTCTCCACTCCCTCCTCCTCTCCTCCTGTTCCCTAATGCCTGACAGTGGCTGGCCTGATCTCTCCCTTCCCCAGGCCCCAGGCCATACCTGGCTCTAACTAACCCCACCTCTGTCCTAATTGCCCCTGACCCTGAGGGAGACAACCACAATGGGGGGGAAGGCGGGGGGGGGGGGGGGGACGCTGCCAAGGCACCCCACCATATGCAGCAGGACATACGGGTTCCATCTCTGGCCTTGCTACAACTTGCTGGGTGAACTTGAATGAGAATCTGCCACCTCTATAACCCTCAGTTTCCCCATCTATAAAATAAGCCTCTGCAGGCCCTTCCAGCTGACCCTGCATTGTGTCTGCCACTGGACATTGGGGGCAGGGCTAGGGCCTCAGCAGCCCCTTCCCAGACAGATGCTGGGAAAGCAGCAATTCCTTCCTGAGCGGTGGCCATGTCAATACCAGCTGCTCTGGACCCTGCAGGGGCAGGGCTGCCCACCAGCTCAGTGCCCAACCTCTCCTCATCCGGAAGGAGCTGCTGGCAGCTGCCACCACCCTCCATCTCCAGAACCACGGCCCCTGGAAGGAAGGCACTACGCCTTCCTTTCCCCCAGACCTGGCCCTGGGTCAGGTTGGAGCCTGGGAGGCAGTGGGAACTCCAGAGATGTGTGTTCCAGACATAGTGTAGCTTTGTTTTTAATAATTAACAGCAGCAAATATTGATTTATGCAGGCACTTCCAGGCCTGAGCGCTTCCGGGCACCCAGCAAAAAGCAACCAGAGAAACATCCATTCCCACACTGGGAGAAGGCAAGACCTGCTCGTATCACCGGAGATGCCTGTGTGCCAGGTGGAGTGGGGGGGGGGGGGGAAGGGGTGCAGCAGCTGTATGTGTGTGTGTGTGACTGGGACAGGATGTGACTGTGTGTGCCTGGACATCCTGGGTATGTGCATTTGTACATATGCATCTGTACATGCTTGCATGTGTACATGTGCAAGTTTCAGCACACATGTGCAGACACATGATTGTGTCCACGTGCATATATGTGGGTAGGCTGTGTGCATATGTCTGTGCAGATTTCGGAATCCCCGAGTGAAGAAACCCCTGTAAGGGGGCAGGTAGGAAGGTCCTGGGAATCTCAAGTGTGGCTTCTCAATGAAGAGAGTCCCTCCTGGGTGTTCTGTCCTACCCTGGGAACATCTTGCTGGTAACAAACAGTTTGGCTTCCTGATTTCTACTTTTCAAAGTTACTTTCAGGGTTATCACTCAATTGCAAGCTGGCAAGGTGGATAGAGAAGAAAGTGTCACCTCTATCTTACAGATAAGGAAACGGAGGCCCAGAGAGGGGCAGGGATTTGCCCACTGGCACAGGGAGACCTCCTGTCCCTCAAACTGGCTCCATCAACATTATAAATATGTGCAGAGTTAGGGGTGCTGGGCGATGGGGGTGGACACTGGGTCACCGGCCTGGTTCCCTCAGCTCCACTACTGGTTTGCTGGGGATCCAGACGAATCACTCAATCTCTCTGGACACTGGTTTCCTCCTGTTGAAGGAAGATGACCCACAGACTGTGATCCACTTGATTCTGGGGTAGGGGTAGGTTGTCGCGAGCCTCCCATCTGGGCTGTGTTGGCACAAACGGAGGTTTCTAGACAGACTGGGTGGAAGCCAGGAAACCCAAGGGGAGGCATCTCAGAACTTATCCAAGAAGGCCAGCCTCGGGCTGTCTGAGCGGGCAGGACTCGGGGGATGGGCTGTTCCAACCCTCATTTTCCTGATGGAAGACTGAGGCCCAGGAAGAGAAGGGATCGTTCAAGGGCACACAGCATTGGTGAGAACACAGGCCTCCTCCCAGATGCTCACTCACGAACCCAGCTGCCACGGGGTCACCCCCTTCCTGCCGAGCCCCAGGATCCACATGGCCCGTCTTGAGCTGTTGCCCAAGCACAGAAAATAGGACAGGGTCCCCCTGATACTGTCCAGAGGACCCCCACTTGGGACCCCCTTGGTGGTGGTGGTCCCCCACAAGGACACCATTCCTTGGCCATCTGCTCTCCCAGCCCAGGAGAGAAACATGGCCCTTGTTCCGGGCCAGAGTGCTTTGGAGAGGGGCTTGGCAGATCCTGCCTCTGCCATTTCCTGGCTGTGTGACCTTGGGAAAACCACTTCACCTCTCTGAGCATCTGGATCCTCATCTGGATAATGCCTGCCACCGAGGTTTAGTGAAAGGACCAAGAGGCGTGGTGCTTGTGTCCATGCTTGAGAACTGTGAAGTGTACTGCAGTACAGGCTACGATCCTTTGCATCAGAGAGGCCACAAGACCAGGCCCTCTGGTCAGATAGCCCGAGTGACAGCCCTGACGCCGTAACATCCTACCCGTGTGCCTTTGAATGAGTAACTTAACCTCTCTGAGCCTTGATTTTCTCATCTGCAAAATGGGACTAATAATAGGAGCTAGCACAATTTACAATGTACAATTTGAGGATGAAATGAAATTCTGTATGTAGAGCATTAAGTACCCACGTGGCCCACAGTAAATCTCAAGCAATGCTAGCCTTTATTACTGACATCTGACACTCTGCAAAAGTTTAATTCTTTCTCTCTAATCTGGACTCAGGGTCTGTGTCTGGTTGATTACTGGCCGCTTGGCACCCAGCACAAAGTTTGACACAAATCAGGTACTGGGTGAACACTTGATTGTCATGATCACAACAATAGCCCCATTTACGGGGCTTTTACTCTGTTCCAGGTATTGCGTATGAAGCGCTCTATCGGCACTTTTCCATTTAATCCTCACAATAGCCCTGTGAAGTGCGTACTGTCGTTATACCCAGTTTACAGGTGAGGAAACTGATGGTGATGGTGATGATGAAGAAAATGAAGAAGAGTTGTGCCCTAGCCAGTGTTGCTCAGTTGGTTGGAGCATCAACCCATACACCAAAAAGTGGTGGGTTCCATTCCTGGTCAGGGCACATACCCAGGTTGTGGGTTCGATCCCCCATCGTGGCGCGTGCAGGATAGATGTTTCTCTCTCCCTTCCTCTCTCTAAAATCAATTTTTAAAAAAGAATAGTTGGGCCAGTTTATACCCAGCTGTTCTCCCCCACCCCCAGCTGTGCCACAGACCACCCCCATTCAATCTCCTAGACTGTACCAAGCGCCCCCAGGGGTGAGGAGTGGTAGTCTGAACATTTTACCTCTGCCCAGTGCTCATTTTAGGCCTCGCTCGGCCCTGGGGGCCTCCAGACCAGGGCAGCGGGGAGGGGGCACTCACCTTTGGGCAGAGTGAGGCAGCGTGTGGGGAGACTAAGTCCACTCTCGGCAGGTCTAGTGCCTGAGGGAAGCGCTGGTTCTGCCCATCACTCCTCCTGGAAGAGAAAAGGAGTCTGAGGTCAGGGAGAGCCTCCAGTTGGGAGATTTGTGAACTTTCAGAGGAAGAGTCAACCTCCGAGTTGGGGGACGTGAGGGGACACAGATTCCATGGAGGAGTGGGTCCTGGGCTGCCCCAGAGGAAGAGGATGAGCGTGCTGAGCACGGCTGCTAAACAGGCTCTCCTTCGCCAGAGACCAGAGATGTGCACAGGGTCTCTCCCCAAATACTCCACTGGACCTCCTTCACACATACTCCAGCCAAGAGGATGTCCACAGCCCATTCTGAAGATGGGTAGACTGAGGCAGTGAGGGTTGCTGTAGATGGCTGAGTCCAGACCTCTGGTTTAAGCAGGATGCTCCAGCCTCTACGGACCCCTTCCTGAGCCTCAGGGAGACAGCAGCCTTAGGACTGAGAGGCCACTGGGCTATTGTTATTGACAATAACATTACCCGACTCTCATTGGGCCTATCGGGTGCCAGGCCTGTGCCAAGCCCCACTCCCCGGCCCAAAGGCACAGACTGCTCACCACCCTGGTATTCCCACCAGGACCCAGAGGCATGTGGAGGTCACACAGCTGGTCAGCAGCAGAGCCAGCATCTGAGGCCTAACCGATGGCAAGCCCGAACTCTGTGCCCACACCACGCCCTTCCCCGGGGAAAGGAAACGGGTCTGGCGAGGGTGAAGTCAGAGCCGTCATCCTAGAAAGCCTGCTGAGGAGGCCGCCTCCAGGGCCAGTGCTTCCTGGGACCCAGGCAGCCCAGGGCTGGGGGAGCAGCCTGGCTTCCGCTGGCTGCCTAGGGCCACCCTGACGTGGCTGTATCCACGCCCATCCACCAAGAGGATGTGTCATTCAGCCGCCAG